GCGGGGCCCGCGGGGGTCGGCCGCGGGATGGGAGCCTCACAGCGGCTCCCAACTCCGACGCGTCTCCGCTGTCCGCAGCCTTGGCCGCGACGGCCACGTTACTGTCGCGGTCCCTACAGACCCTACAGGTCACGGTCCCCGCCCGCCCGCGCCTCTGCAGTTCTGCTTCGTGCCACCGGGGGTCCCCAAGGCTCAGCAGATGGGACAGCGGGGGGCACCAGGCTCTGCTCCTGGGCACAGGCTGTCCTAGGGAGCCCACACCTAAAAATGGCCTTGTCGTGGCCAGGGATGCATCGGCCTTTGCGGGTCCCCAGCCCGCAGGACACCCAGGCGTGGACAGGAGACAATTTCAGAGCAAGGGGAGACACGGGCTGCCAGATCCAGGGAGCAGCTTGTCAGGAGATAATATAAATTGCAGGCAAAAAAAGGCAACTGAACTCGGAATGTCTGGAAACTGACTCGGAATGTCAAAACCAAGGGCTTGGTCTGAAAAGAGTTAATCTCGGGGAAATGAGCTGCGCTGGGGAGCGCAGGGGGTTGGGGTTCATGTCTCGGGCCAGCTCGTCCGGGAGGGTTCCCGAGTGCTGCATGTGCAGTGGCGGGGAGTGATGGAGCCATCTCCTTCACCATCCCGGCGGCCCCTCGATGTATAAGGGATGCTCTGGGCTCCCCCGTGTTTAACCACCCTCCAGCTGCTGGCGAGGAGCCTTCTCCAAATGGCTTCAACCCAAGCAGATCTGCCCCAGCACCCTGCTGCCCTCCATCCCCCCTGCCACGGCCCATGGCCACCCCCCACCGGTCCTGCCCCCCATGCTGCCCCCCACGCTCGCCTCTGCCTCCCTACAGCTGCTGCCAGCCCATCCATGTGCCCCGTAACTCCTTCTACCCATCCAAAGTTTCTTCTCTTGCGGGGAGGTTTCTCCTGCTAAGAGATGGCAGATTTTAATCTCAAATTGTCTTTTTTCTTACCTGTTGGCTTCAGCAGCTTAATGTGCAGGAAAACCTCCCTCGCCTGGAAAGGCGATTACAGCGTGTGCTGCCAGGAGAGCTCAACGGCACCATCATAGCACCCAAAGGCAGGGATGCTCACACCGGTCACAGCCAGGATCCCGCTGGGACCCATCGTCAGGAGTGGGGGACAATGCACAGAGGTGTCTCCAGCTATGGGACTCTTGCAGGGTTTGGGACTTTGCATGTTTTGGGGAGGAAGCAGCCTTCGTGACCCATTCCTCCTCTAAAGGGAATCTCTGCAAGACCCCCCTGTTTTGGTGACGTTACAAAAAAGTCACTGCATTCAGGGTACCCCTGAATCTTGGAAACTCTCCTTAACATCATTACAATTACTCAGATCTTTGCAAGAAGGTGGGTAGAGCACCAGGAATGGAGGAGAAAAGAAAAGCAAGGACGCGAGGGGAGCTGCCACATGGGGAGGGGACGCGTCCTGGCAGGGTACGCGTGGTGTGAGCATGGACATCTCTGCATCCCACCATTGAGCAGCTTGTGGCTGCCTGTGATTCTCCAGCCGCGGGGTTTGGAGGCAGCGCTGGGGCTGGAGCCATTCCCCAGCATGATGTGCGAGGCTTTGGTTGCCATAACAACTGGATTCAGGCTTCAAAAATAGTAACTTATTTTTCATTCAATTTGCCTTTTGCCCTCTGAGACAGATCTATTTCGGGACTGATGGTTCACTTCAGGTGTCCCTTGCCAGCACCCCCAGCTGCAGCTGGGGGCTTCGGGGATGGGGGTTATTTTGTTAGACGTGTTTTATTGCCGTTTTCTCTCCCTCCCCTATTCAGGCCTAGAGAAAGGTAAAGCAGGGCTCAGGCACCATGAAATAGCCTTTGCCAAAGCCTCGGCATCTAGAAGGCTGGGGAAGGAACTTGAAAAAAATCTTCCCGGCTAAGTGGCAGAGCGTGGGAGAGGTTTTCGGAGATGATCTCACTCTGCATCTCAGCTTGGACCTGCCACTCTCTCTGCCAGGGCTTGGCTGTCCCAGATATGTTGGGAAGGTCCTACCAAAGATGGGGCTTATTTTGGTCCCTCTGCACCTCCTGGATCCCACTGTCACCAGCCTGGTCCCTGACAGCATCTTCCATCCATGATGGGAAACGTGATGGGAGGCTGACCCTGCTGCCAGTGCCTGGCATCAGGGAACCGGGTTGCTTCTTGTGTGTATTGAGGACACCCCGCAATGCAGCACGCACCTGGACCATCACCCCTTTTGCATCCCCTGGGGCGATGAACTGCTTTTGGAAGGGATTGCAGAGGGTGCCAGGATTAATTCATGCCTTGAATTAAGGGGCCCCGTAATTTTTGTCCATTTCGGCTTTTGGAAGATATGTGTGTGTGTGATTTCCCATGGAAACAGCCATATGAGCACAACCCTTCGTGTCGAGATGTCCTCGGCTGTTCTGCCTTCCTCCCATCAACATTATTACAGCATCAGCAAGGAGAGGTTGCACTGGGGAGACCAGGGCTCTCCTCCTCCAGTTGCTGCTGGCCTTGCATCACCTTTCTTGTCCCTTAGCTGCTGGCCTGAAGATGCCTGCAGTCTGGCACAGGGTGGGCAGGCATGATGGCCATCTGCCTGCAGACAAGCCCCCATCGCCCTTTACAGCCCCTTTCTGAGCTGCCCAACCTCAGATGTACGTTGGGATCTCACCTCCTGCGAGAGCCTCCCCGGGTGATGTAGAGGATGGAGGGGTGAAGGCTTAGGATGGAGGTGGCGTGAGGATCCTGGGGTCTCCAGTCCTTGCCTTGCTGTCGTGTTGCTTCCTTCCCCTTCTCCTGAGCAGGGAGGGATGGTGGGATGCTGGTGGGAGTGGAGTCCTGTCCCCACCCACGGGCACCCCGCAGCGATGGGGCTGGGGCAGAGCTGCCCACCCCTGCCAGGGCCCCTGAAAAATAATGGAAAAATCATTAAAATCAAATAATTAAAAGCAAAGCCAAACAAAGCAACTCCCTGGGGAGGCTGGGGCGGGCTGGCCCTGCCCTGGGGCAGGCAGCGTGCAGGCAGGGACGTCCCGGTGCCCCTCCTGGAGGACCCGGCCGTGGGCAGCGTGGCTGGGGGAGCGGGCAG